ACATGCTTGCTAAAAAAGAATTAATCTCGATCTCGCGTCAATTCGTGGACGTGCCATGAAACGACATCGTCATATCTAAGGGGAAGATGGTTGCATTCAACTCCAGTTGAAATAAGGCAAACAAGACAAACTTTGTCTTTTAGCTATTTCGGGGTTTCGCTTAGACCTCGCTCACACAGTTTTCTTTGCAAGTCGACCAGCGAATAAAAACTTCCAAGTGAGAATGTCTTTCAGATTTTTCTTTGTAAGCTCTTTAATATCCAGGAAGAGATACTTGAAAGTTTTCTTTTTCAACCTTCTTTTATTGTCTATGGTAGAAAACTATGTGGTGGGTCTTTAGTAATAGTTGACATGATTAATGGCTTCCGTTTCAAGTTTCCTTATCGTGAATCATGTGGTATGCTTATATCCAACCTAGGACAAGGAAAAGATCACCTGTGGGTAAAAAAACTCCGAGGCAATGCTTATTGCAAGGGGGTGTGTGTGTTAAGATTTCTGTTAGGTAATATTTCCTGTTAAACCGGGTCGGAGCAACTTTCTCCCCACAAATAACACTCTTCAATGCAATGAAAATCTTCCAAATGCTTCACTTTTCACGTCCATTGTAGTCACCCGACCGCGCACAACATTTTAGTCTGTAGGTGACACGCTTAGAAAATGAGCATCCATTCCGTTTGTGCAGTTTCCGTGCAATAAAGTGTTCGTGTTGAACAGGTATTAATGCGGAGAAAAGCAAGACGTTCGATCAGAACGAGTGATTGCCTCTTATCCTCGTTCTCCCACTAGTGACATCTGGGGTAGCCCATTCTCGCGGAACTCGATCTTCTTCGATTTCCTGTTACAAAGAAGTTATTCTATTATGTTAGGGTGGTTCTGTAGATAAGGCCCGCATAAGTACATCCTGAATCATCAGGGTCCTCGGATTTGTTTCTTGCAGATATTTTCATTTTCCTTTTTATAAAATTAGAAATAACGAAGGTCAAGCTGACACTACGGAATTTCCTATAGAGCAATGGAATCAACTACTATATATGGAATTAGCCAGAACGACTGAAACCTTTGGCAAGTTTACTTTCAGCAACCAAAATGAGGACCTTCGAACAGGCGACATAAGGGTAATTAAGAGGAGGCTATTGTTAATTAAGTTGATTCTTTGTCCGAAATGGCCTTGTTCCCATTGCTTTGCAGTCAGTGTCTCACAGCACATGTCTGGAGAGAAAGGATACGAGAGTGGTTGTATTATCATCCTCTCAAGGCTTCCTAAGTTTTTTTTTTTTTGGTTGGCATACACCTTTCACGCTATTTTCCTCAGATGGCTTTTCCATCCAGTATACACTGCGTTCTCCATGATCACTCTGGAAGGATAAGGAATTGCACGATTTATTCTAGTCGGCTACAAAGGTATATTCGTAAGGAGATGTTGCATTTTTGAAGAATCTCAAATTAAACTGCGCTGATAATTTTGAAGGAATCTAGTCACGATCGTGACTCTCGGTGACAGTAAAGGCAATTTGATGCATGGATTTTGCGAGAATTTTGATGAAGTCGTGTATCTGTTGAGTCGCCCTCTGAGTGCATCAATCGAAACAAAACCCTGTTTGGCAAGCTCCCATTGCCGTCACCGAGAAAATAATAGGGTCATCTGAGATCCGAGGATTCCAAATGGATTCAGGAAGGTAAGTAACCGCAGGAAGAGTGACTCTGGGCTCACCTGTCCATCACGGTACCTTCAAAACGTCCCTAGAAGCTCAGATGTTAGACCAATATTGAAATAAGGACCCAAAGTTGGACATATGTCGGTCGAGTTGTTGCAAGAAATTCTATTTTAGACGAGATTAGTTGGAATGGTTCAGTTAAGTTCCACCCAAGGATACCAATATCAAGAGGGGCCAAAAATAGTACCCTTCTTAATTTGCGGAAATTAATAGTGTTAAAGTGTATTTCTAAAACCCGTGAATACGAGTATGAAATATTGCAGGACTATCATTTGGAACTCAAATGGAATGTGCCAATCAGAGGTGAGTCCGGATTCGGATAATCCGCGGTTCGGATCGGATCCGACGGTGTCAGTGCGGATTTCGGTCGGTTTCGGATAGGAACTGTAGAATTCGAATCGGATTGGATCGGTCTCGCTTGAAAACTGTTCTTGCGGATCGGATGCGGTCGGACTTACTCAATTTAAAAAATCCGGGAGCATCCTAAACAATCCGATAAATCTGAATTGAAATTTTGGAACGAGCCGAAATATGTAATCAAGATTGCTTGCTTGCCAATTATGCACTGAGAAAAGAATACTTCTGACTGTGTTCCAGAAATGCCATTCCATATACAGAGAAGAGATTTTTATGCGAATGGAGAGAGAAGGTAGCAATCGTGCCACCGGAAGACGGACTTACAGCTCGAGTCTCTCGCTCCTCCTGTCTTTTTTTTTTCTGATCCACTGCAATATTGCCTTGGATTTCTCCGTGCCTAGTGCTCTTTGAACTCCCGCGGTTTGCACCATCTCAGTGCAAAATAACAATAATGTGCAGCAAACAGGCTTGTGAACAACCGCCGCACGAATCTGAACATTCGATAATGTTCTATTGCTCTGCGAACGTACAGGTTTCATTAGGAAATTCAGGATTTTCCCGGATAACCGCGGATAGGATCGAACTCGAACTTATGCGAGAAATATTGAATTTGCTTCGGTTCGGATTCGGATCGGATCGGATCGGACTGGGAAAGGGCAGTCCAAACTCACCTCTGGTGCCAATAAAATGCGATAAAAAATCTAAGAACTCATATTTAACCCTTTACACTTTTTTTCCCCCCCCCCGAGTACAGCTGGAATTCTGTTTGCCCACGAGACATCCATGAGTGGCAGTGGGCACAGGGAGGCAGCAGCTCCAGTAATATAACCCATCGAACCAACCCCCCCCCCCCCCCCCCACAAGAAAAAAAGACAAATTATCTAAAGGCGGGTCTTAAAATACGAGTAATATATTTTTTTTATCAGCTTCAACAAAGTTTGTGCTTGCTAATTTAAAACGCTTTATATGTTCGCTATGCTATAAGTTCAGAAGAGCCAGCAATTGAAAAAGTGTCATTTTCTTCCGCCAGATGAAAATTTCAATGCTCTAACTTTTCAAACTGGGAAAAGCACTTCAATGCGTATGTGACAAAAGGAACTTATTGTTTAAAGTTTAAAATCGCCATGACTGCATGAAAACTTGGCGTTACAATTATAACTTTTCAACATTTCAGGATTCTGGAGGGCTACACCTAATAAATCACCCTCGATGCCATCCCACACAGCATGGTGACATCCCATGGATGTCCCCAACAGGACGACTTGTCCCAAAGTCTTAATGGGACATCCTAAGGACATCTTCAGTCGGACGGTTTCCAACGTCTTGAAAGACAAGTCTTGGAGACGTCTTTTAGACATCTCCAGCCGGAATTTTTTTCGATACCCAGAAGGGTATCTTTGAGGGCATCTTCAGTCAAACGCTTTCGATATCTTGAGGGACATTTTAGGGATGTCTTGAAATCACCTTCAGTCGTCTTTGTCACCTTCAGTCAGGTGCATAACTCTGACGGTAGATGTCTCTCGCGTGCCTGACCTCCAACCTCAGATCTTTTCTATCGTGATTTTGTACAGAAAGGGTAATATATGAGTAATAATTTTCGTACCGTATATCGGAAAAACTGCTACCGAGGAAATCGAAAAAAAATTGAGGCTCTAATTTTAATTTATTCCGTTATATTCTCATTTATGATGCCTGATCGGCATGTCTGGGTACCAGTATCCCGATTGGAAATCTGAGCCCATGCTCCAGCTTTAAAGAAGTAAGGCCTACTTTTCTTATTTAAAAAAAGCTAAATTTTGTCCCATAAATATGTGTCTCTTATATTGTGGTGTTTCCCTCCTTTTTTTGCCACTATTCTCCAATCGGTCAAAAATTTTGGAGTCCTGGAAGATCATATAGACATCTTAGAGAATAAAGGGTTGTCCTACATGGCAGGTAATGAGTTTCAGGGGAAAAAAGTGTCCAGATATTTTGATATCGCTGACATGTCCGTGTATAGAATCTGGGACTTTTCACTTGTCCCTAGTTGATATCTCTGTGACATCTCGGGATATACTATAATATACAACTGTGCATAACCGTTTCGTCGTAGCACTATTTCGTCGCACATACATGGCGAGGCACTAGCTTGCAGATAAGGGTAAAAGCAAAGTGAGGAAAGTCGCATTAGGGAATGGGGTACTGGAATTCTGATTCCTATCAGTTGGGGAGGGGAAAGGGAAGGGAGAGAATATGTCTGTCGTTCTTGTCAGTTTTTTAGTTGCACCGTTCGAATGTAAATTTGAGTTTTCATGAGCATGACACAAGAATGGGTCATATTATCTACAGCAGTGGGTCTCAAATTTTTTTTTTTCAAGCTGCGGACCAATTTCAGAATAGAAGGGACCCGCGCGGACGCCCTCCGCTGTCGCGTAAAAGACTAAGTTTATAAAATTAGCGCAAGTAATTTTGATCAAGTTGGCTGAAGGTTTAAAATTCATTTCTGAATTTTTATCTGCCATGTTGTCCGTTATTCATTTTGACCAGGATATAGTTTCTTGGGCCACCTGAAGCCTCGCCACGGACCCCTACGTATCCGCAAACTCTCGGTTGAGAGGCGTTCATCTACGGTACAGGGATAGAAAATGCACCAGGAAGGGTAAATTTTAACCGTCGAGAGACAAAGCGACAATGAGATAGCATATCTATGTGAGCTACCGAGTCGTAAAGGTTGAAGGGTGTGGCATGCATAAAAGAACGGCTCACAATGGTGATTTATGACTTCTTTACTAATTCACGAGCTGGGATCGACGTCAGGTGCATTTTAGAACTCTAATCGAGGGAGTCCGTAAGTACCTTGCTTGGGGTGAGACCTTATCCTATTATATCCTCCCGCCCTGAAACGACCTCATGACAAGGGAAGTGCGACGATCGGTGTCTGCGAAGAAACTACTTCGAAAATGCTTGCGACTTGGTGTCCGCGACCATGTAGGCCATGACGAATGCGCCGGAAACCATACAGGGGGGCCTAGAAAAAAAGCTGAAATGTTAAGAATGTAATATGGTAATGTATTTTCGTGCTATAGATACTTAGGATACAGGAGCATGCTATTAATCAGTAAATAAATTATACTTATCTTGTAAAGTTTACTTTGTTATACTATTTTTCATGTCTTTGTCAGTAATCAATATTCAAACATGAAAATAAATTATTATATTACATTCCTAACATTTCAGAACTGTACGTATTTTCTGGGCTACCCTGTGATTTGCCATGTGTCATATAACATCTTGACTACTGGGCCGTGTCCTACCGTACAGTTGAGCATATCCCAATGGTGAGAATAGAGGTACCATATCTATGCAAGCTCAGGAGTTTTAATGAACCTCCTCTGTCAGATGCTGAATTCACTAAAGGTAGAATACTCAGAATATCATAAATAAAACTTGAGAACTGGTCGCTGAAAAAAATTATTTAATGAATGGAAAAACCCAAAACCTACCATATAAATCTATTCACTCTCCTTTGTCGATTCCCATGCAGTCAGGAGAAGACTTTATTTCATCTCCCCTTCCCCACCCGGGTCCAACTCCACATCCTGCATTCCAAGGTCTCTTCCCGGGACTAAGGTCCTCCTGTTGCCTCTTCCCTTGGTCCCCTTCATGTCTAGACTTTTCCTTCCAGTCTCCGGAACGGCTGCTGCGTCTTACTGGACAATCCCCCCCTTCCCCTTCGTTCCAACTTACATGGGCCACCGCAGCTCCATGCCTCTCAAGTTTAGGAAGAACAGACAGTGCAAATGACATTTGTCGCGTCCCTAATGAGGCAGTGTTTTTTCGAGCAACATTGTCCCGCAATGTTGTGATATTATTCCCCAAGTTTCATTGAGCTGAGCTTCATAGATCTCTCCATAGAGTGCCGTACACCCTTCAAGTAACATTATACTTAACGTTATAGTAAGTTAAGTTGAGTGATTGTTCCAAGCAGTTCCAGAACTCAGTAAACACCTGGATTCCATGCCATCCAGCAATATAGCATTTTCAAAGCATTTCATATGTTTTTAATGTTGGTAATGATGTAAAAGATAATTAATATATCTTATCAGAATGATGGAAAAAAATCACTGACTCAGATAAATACTGCACAACAGGACCAGGAATTTTTGATGATTCAAAGCTTTTACAATGAAGCCATTTAAAGGTTCAACAGAGCTCATGCAATACAATAAAACAATACGGCTCTCAAATGACACAAGCTGAAGAAAATTCATTCAATACCTATACAGATGAAAAATGAAATGTATGCCAAGGTCACCAGTCCCATTTAATCAGCAAAAAGATTGAAAAATATTGTTTAGGTGCATTAACTGCAAGGTAAAGTCCTGTGAGAGACAAAAAATTACGATAAGTCTCTAGTTTATTTTCGCAGAGTCTCAATGACGATGTTCGTCAGGCTGATTTGAATTGCGAGAGAATGATCTGCAAGAAAGCAAACACGCAAGTCTGTCTATTGCAAAAATCCCAAAGTTTTTTTTCCAAGCAAGATAGCTGTAAGTTTGTTTTTCATCTTGCCCGTAGTTAGAGTCAAAACTTTCATGTTCTGCGTTGGAATCTGTTGTCACTTTAAAAACTCCACTTCAAAATCTGGAATTTTGCAGCATGCAAAAATAATCGAGACAGATTACAAATGATAATACCTCATAATTACGTATGAGTGATCGTGACCCTACAGGGTGAATGAGTTTTTTTTTCTTTGTTCTTTCCATGACTTTTAATCTTTTACGGTTAGGAGCGCTTGGAACACCCTTTGCCCTTCACATTCCCCCCATTAGATGGATATTTCCGTGCTTAGGATCGACTTCTGAGCATGCTCATTTTCCCCTCTCCTCACTTTCTTGAACGTTCCTACGCATCGGAATATTCATTCCATCAGAAAAGGTGGCCACACTACAAAAGGCATACGAGGAATGATTCAAGTAGAAATGATCGGAGAAGGCTGAAAGCTGGTTCCAATATTTATTCAACCCGTTTGGTAATTTCAAGAGCCAAAAATTGGTTTGAATTACATTTCACTTAAAAAAAAAATTGGCATTAAAAAAATGTTCCTGCCAAAATATTAATGCATTTCAAAATACTAAAAAAATTTGAATACAGAGCAGTGATGCAATTTTTATTATTAAAAAACCACTTATTAGATATCAGTTCATGTATCCAAAGAGAACAGCTCATTCAATGCGGTACAATTTAAAGCAAAATTTCCTTAGAAGCAGCTACGAAGGTGAAAATGAATTCAATTAAGCTGTCCAAGCGCTTTCAGACAACTATGGAAAAGGAAATTTTCCCTGAGTGTGAAGCCCCGTCCCATCAATGGCATTCGTGTTTATATCCGTGGAGGCAATCATGAAAAATTAAATTTTGTTTGAGTATATCACGGTCCATTTCCTTATACTTCAGGGTAGGAACTTTTGGATCATCCCTTGTACGTTTCAAGCTTGCCCTATGTGCATTAGAGCGATGACTGTACCTAGTCTGCTGACTCAGCAGTCTCAAGCGACATTCTTTAGTAAAAACATGCCATTCTTGATGGCACTGCCAGGTGGGGCAGACCCATTAAGAAGCAGGAAAAATACCAATATGCAACGCACAATTAAGGTCACGATTTTGCCCTAATCCTACTCCAATTATATGCAAATCCACATGTCTTGCAAAATTAAGGCCCTTCTGGTTTTCGGGTCTCACTTGGTTTCATTGATGCTAAAAGTTGAACTTCATGCAAAAATCCAGTTATTAGATTTTAAAAGTGCCACCATGCAACCTCCTGTAGTTTAACTACAAGTAACTTGGGACCCTGCATTATATATACAGTATATGAGTGCATGTGTTGAAGTAAACTTCAGCTATTAAGCTAATAAGGCCATAGTTAGACAGAGAGAGGCAGACTCAGCTTCCATTGTGCAGTTAATTTCTATTATCTGACCTGAAAAAATTAATGAGATCCATCATACGGTGTCTTTGAAACATTTCAAGGGGTAATCCAATGTGATGTAGAGCACAGTGTCAAACACTATCATCAAACAAAAGAATCAACTGAATTGACGGGAAGGAAATGACAGTTCTCAATCAATAGTTTTTCCCAGCTTTTGTTCGGGATCTGGCCCATGTTCACAGTGGCATGATTTTATGCAAAGAAAGCAAGCTAATTTGACAAATAGACCCTACAGCACAAGTATGTAAAGGATGGATCATCCCTTGTACGTTTCAAGCTTGCCCTATGTGCATTAGAGCGATGACTGTACCTAGTCTGCTGACTCAGCAGTCTCAAGCGACATTCTTTAGTAAAAACATGCCATTCTTGATGGCACTGCCCAGTGGGGCAGACCCATTAAGAAGCATGAAAAATTAATGAGATCCATCATACGGTGTCTTTTAAACATTTCAAGGGGTAATCCAATGTGATGTAGAGCACAGTATCAAACACTATCATCAAACAAAAGAATCAACTGAATTGACGGGAAGGAAATGACAGTCAAGAGTTAGTTATCAAAAAGGGTCGAAAACAAGCCCTAGACCGGGTACAAGTGTCACCGTACTAAAATACGTTTCTTTCGTTCGATTAAACTGTTTATCTGGGATGTCGTGTTCATACATTTCCTAATAAATGCTTGTTTCAAAGGAGAAAAAATAATACGAATGAATTATTGTGGAAAAAAATATATATATACGAGGTGTGGCAAGAAAGAAATGAGATTGAACGATTAGCTTATGCAATACCCCATCCACAATCAAACAGATTACACTGTTGTTTAGCGTCGTCCTTCCTGGTTCTAACAAGCGTTCGCATGTTCGAATCGGGTAAATAGTGTTTGTGTTACGCCCGTTGTGTAAGACGTGTTTTATCGCCCTTGCCGGAAAATGTGTGATCGAAATGTAAAGCAGCGCATTAGCATCACATTTTTAGGCAAATCCAACAAAACCGCAACTGAAACTTACGGTATGTTGAAAAATGTTTATGGTGACGAAACAATGTCCCGTGCTCGCGTATTTCAGTGGCATAAAAGATTTCTGGACGGTCGAGAAGACGTGCACGATGATCCGAAATCTGGTCGACCCAAAACCACAAAAATTTGAAATTTCGAAATTTGGTGCGCAGTGATCGTCGTTTAACGATTAGAATGATGGCTGAGATGCTAAACATGAATAAGGAATCAATTCGCAAGATTTTGAAAGAAGATTTGGACATGAGGAAGGTGACGCGCTTCTACCACGGGTTTCAAGACTGCGTGCTGGTTTTTAACTTTTCTCAGCTTTAGACGTGACTAGAACTTGCTTAACCTTTTCTTCTCCTGAAAGACTTGTTCCAATAGTGACCATCAGTACGGTATTCTAGTACGATCCCGAAACTAAAAGGCAAAGCCTCCAGTGGACAACGACCGCGTCTCCCCGACCGAAGAAGGCAAGAATGTCACGCTCCAAAGTGAAGACAATGTTGATTGTGTTTTTCGACACTAAAGGTATCGTGCACCACGAATATCTTCCAGCGGGGCAAACAGTCAACCAATACTTCTACAAAGATGTTCTGGGGCGTTTAAGAGAAAAAGTCCGTCGTAAAAGACCAGAGCTGTGGCCCCACAAGTGGATTCTTCATCACGACAACGCTCCTTCTCATTCAGCGATATCAGTGAAGCAATTTTTGGCCCAAAAGCAAATCACAACAATGGAACACCCACCCTATTCGCCAGTTGTGACTTTTTTCTGTTTCCAAAACTAAAAAGTTTCATGAAAGGAACCCATTTTGACGACGTGGAGCACCTAAAAAGTATTCCCGAAGAGGACTTCCAAAAATGTTTCGAAGCATGGAAGAAGAGAATGGAGAAGTGCATTAGAGCCAACGGGGACTGCTTTGAAGGGGACAACCTTTGAATTCGTAATTTTTCAATAATAAAAGTTTTATCGACATAGTCTCGTTTCTTTTTTGCCAGACCTCGTATATATAAATCGATGTCGTGCTTCATGAGACATCCTCAACACTCCAATCAAAAAGGCAAGATCCATAAATGATATCAAAGTCTAGCTATTTAGAGGCTAGGAAATGAGATTTAAAATATAATAATGATGGTGATGCAAGACAGGAGGCACAGCACTATTAATAGGTTGGCTGCTCATGACAAAAACCCTGAAACTTTTGTGAGGTTGACTGGTACACAAAGTACGTTTGTTTTTACCTCTTGAGGAGTTGAGAATTGAATCTTAGATTAACACTGTTTAAATACTCCATGTTTATATTGGTTTGAGGTCAATGAACATGCTCCTGACTGAAATAAGAGAAATATTTCCTGCTGGGCTCATAATACTGCAACTACTATTATGACCTGGCATATATGAACCTTGAGGCTTTTGTCATGGAAAGTTAAGCTTGCAAGTAGATGGAAGTAGGAATTCAAAGAGGCTGATATAGCAAGAGATTTATCCTCTTGCAACAATCACAATGATGCAACAGTAAAAATATATATTAAAATTTTTCCAATGATACCATGACCACTAAAGAAGCAATTGCAGCTGGTAACATGGAACCAGATATGCTACTGAAGCTTCCAAACACCTATAGACTTCTATTAGAGGAACAGCAGATCTCAGTTCCCTGATGGGACTGACAGAATCTATGTATGAGGCCAGTGTATGATGATCTAAGAGAAAATTGTGCATATGTATGTCTGGGTCAGGACAGGTCCAAAACAATTTTTTTAAAAGGCCCACACCCATCCTCAGATGGGTACTGAAAGATGAGGGGTCAAAAGACAAACATTTTAACAGCCTAGTCATGGAAGGAGACCTTAGAATATGAAGAGACATGGAGGTTGATCTTGCTATGAAGGGGAAGGGACCAGAGAAGTGGGATATGAATGGGGAAGATGAGGAAGAGACTTGTCTGGGAGTGAAATAAAGGAATAAATTTCATAGAGGCTTCATACATAGCATTCAGCTTCACCACTGGGAATTCTCTTCATTCCAAGGCCTTCCATGCATAAACTGCTTAATGCCCCCATATGAATGCCAGGTCACACACTTCCTACAGTGTCTAAGTGGAAGCACTCTGCATGAGTTTCCCACTCCTGAGGATCTGGTATATAGGTTCAACACAGATCTGCATAAGTTTAGCATAAGAGCTTAATATGCAGCCTATCCTCTTCCTCTCAACAAAAGGGGTAAATATACTTAATATTATCTCCAAGAAGAAACAGCCATTTCCATGCATTTAGGTTCAACACAGATCTGCATAAGTTTAGCATAAGAGCTTAATATGCAGCCTATCCTCTTCCTCTCAACAAAAGGGGTAAATATACTTAATATTATCTCCAAGAAGAAACAGCCATTTCCATGCATCCAACCTTAAGGTAACTATCAGGGATCTCACAAATTTTAAGTCAACCCCATCAAGTAAGCCTCTTATATCTTCCTTTCAGCATATGTCTGAAATGATATCATACAACATTGGGCCTGCTGCATTTCACTAACCACATTCCTAAGCCAATTACATCATGGTCTTACCCACCTAATTGTAAGAAAAGCCTTGCATGGAGGTGGGTGCAGGGGGCTGACAAAAAAACACAAGGAGTGTGGCTCCCTTCATTACAAGAACATAAAACATAGATCCACTATCAACCTTCAATTAGCCTTCAGAAAATTTTGAATCAAATAATTGGCTTGTGTTATGGTAAACACTTTCTCTGAATGTAAACATTGCATTATGCAAACATTGCATTATGTCATTTAAAAATTAATGTATACTTTTTTCTTAAAGGACAGATTTTGAATACACTTTACTTATCCTTGCAAATGCAGAATACAGGATGAGTGTTAATGAGAGGTTAATTCAGCCCTAGGTTGAGGTCAAAATTAACACTTCACTGCTTTGACAGCAAACAACTCATATCATTTTTATTCTATGACCTACCAGTGAGTCACAACAACAATTGCATATTTTCATTCAAAAATATGAAATAATGAAGGCTAAAAATGACCCATGCTGGTCCATACATTAAGAAAACCCATACATTATACCTGTACAATGAGAAAAATTCATAAATATGAAAGCATTTGTGAAAATTTTAGAAAGATTTTCCATTTCTCATTGAGAACTATTCTGATAATAGACCACAATGAACATTTCACACATGATAGATGTAGTCTATCTGGGGGTATGTAGTGCAATGGGAACGGGGAGCAGTGGGTTGGATTGATGGAAAGGTGAAATAAGTTGAAGTTATTCAAAATGTTGACCTCAACATGCCCTGATTCCACTACAATTTGCCACTCTTCCAGAAAACCAGATTCAGCCAAATTTAAATTCAAGAGGGAGTGATCAATACAGCTTCCATAAAGAAAGAAAAAGTGTATTATCAGAAATTACTTGAGACAAAGGAAACCAAGCAAGAACAACAAAATAATAAAAAAATATTTCAATATTTTAAATATAAAAATATTTTTCATTATTATTTTGTGATACACGATGAATGCATGATGAATGCAATGCACACAAATACACAAAATGTATCACAGAAGTATGGGCATCACACACCATGAAATCGTACTCTGACTAAGAAACAACTTCACAAGACAACAGAAACTTCAGTCAAGAAGGTAGCAGTCAAGTTGGACAGTGCAAACATATTTTTCTGCAAGGAGCAACTAAAAGATCCAAATAAAAAGGAAAACTTCCATTCAACCCCCTACTCTTGAGCATAGACACAAGGCCTCTTCTCTGCAGATGTAGTACTGTTCACCCAAAGCAGTAGTTAGTACTCTTTTTCTGAAGAGTAACAATCACAGTTTTAACAAATGCTTCTTAAATTCTCAGGTTGCACTTTAAGATAAAGATCCCCAGGAATTCTGAAATCCAAGTTATGATGAACACACACTTAATTTCTCTTTGGACATGCCAAAGTCAAAATCACAGTTGACAGTAGATGAAAATATTGGCTGTTACTTCAAAATACATTCCAAGGAGATCAGTAAATTCCCACGTCTGTGACACAT